TGCCTTTCCTTAGACCATACCTGTCTTTCAAACCAAGACAACATATAAAACAGATTATCAAACAGAACACCTTTTATGTGCACCGCATAGTTATTTAGAAGAAAAAAATACACTTGAGGGTTTGTTTAAAAAAGAGTTTTTATAATGTTTGGTGAATCATCTGAATATTTCCTCCACTCTTAAGAACTCGAGTTTATATGAGAGCTATTATTAATGTCTGCTTTTCCTTATGCATATTAGATTATTTATGCCTTTATCAGTTATACTGCAATTTTTTATTTATCACATTGATTTTCTCTGTAGCTATATGTAGAGTCAATAGAGAGATTCTTACCTAACAAAGCTAGATAGTAGTCTGAGGTAACTGTTTGGACTCCCTCTTTGTCAGAGGAAGGGAACAACCACCTCTTAGAGGCAGTTCATCCTATCCTGCTATGAGTCTACACTAGGCTGGTTGGCTTGTTAGGTGGAATGATTCTACTTTAAAACATCACTTTTTATAAGCAAATTTCTTCTTAGTAAAATGCCTTTTACTAAGTAATTTTTCTAACCTTTCAGCATTCTCTAGCATAATTTCTCTAGCATTTCCCTTTCATGTTTGTTTACATTATTCCCAAGTCCTCATAACTCAGTACAGATTGGTATTAGATTAACTATACTAGGCAGAAGGCACAGAGTGTTCTAGATTCTGTCTTGGTTTTGCCTGAATACTTCTGTGCTTTATTTATTCCTTCTATTCTTTGTTGAATAATAATAAATTTTGATACTTATTTGCTCTTAAGTGGGAGAATTTATGGATTTGGGGGCCAACACTGACAAGATCTGAGTGTTGCCTTTGTGTCTTTCTTATGGCTCAGGATTTGCTTGGGGTGGCAGTGACCATTAAATATGAATTTGATATTAGCTAGAGAAATGTCTGAGTCTGGAATGCTTCATCTAGGATTGGAAATTGTTTGTCTAACGGAATTGTTTCTCCATCTAGAGTGCTGTATAGCTGTGAATTAAGATGAGCTCCATGTTCCGGTGCCACTGAGGACTTGCATCCAAAATCTGTCATAATCCAATAATAAAATCTGTCAGTTTTGCTGTGTGGAGTAATACAACAGTGCAGTCCAAGCTGACGGGTGCTGGCGGAAGGGGCTGGCTCTATCTCAACTACAGCAGTGCAGAGGCGATTACTGGGCTTTGAAAAAATTTTGTCCTCTTCCATCCCACCCCCTTTTGTCTCCACAGCAGTGGGAAGGCAGCAGCAGCCAGGAGAGGGAGGAGAGCGCTGGACGCTGCGCAGAACGGAGGGAGGAGTAGGAGACGGGAATGCATAATGCGTGAGTGACAGAGGGTGTGCAGACGGCTGTCGGAGTCCAGAAGACGTGGATGTTCCTTTCCCAGAGTCCAGGTGCTTTTATTGTCTCTCTCTCTCTCTGAGGCAGTAGTTGCTTTGGAAGCATCCTGTATCAGCTGCAGAGGTGTTCCCTGTCCAGCCCTGTATTTTGCAGGCGGCACCTGTTGCGGCAGGGACGGGGTTTAGCAGCGGCAGATTCTGAGCCTGTCGCTTATCCATGTGGGGTTGTCTGCTGGAGGGTGACAGTCTGCTAAGGTTTCTATTGTTCCAGCAGCTTTTCTTTCTGCTCTGCAAAGCTGGGCAGATGGAAACAATAGTCTTTCCAATGGAAAATCCTCTTCTCAGGGGATGCTATCAGGATGTAGCTCAGTCTGAAGCAGACAATTTTTGACTCTCAAAAAAGAACAAAACATTGTCGGTTTAAATTAGGTGAGGATAGAAGGGGAGGAGCTGCCTATGCATTGTGTATTTTAAAGGAGAATGAGCTGAAACTAAGAATGAATTTTTCAAATCATTGTCTAATAATTAATAACTACAATATGGCATGTGACTACAATTAGAAGTACTGCTTTTGCTTTTTGCTTTTGTTATGTTGATTCTATAGAAGACATTGCATAATTCACTCTTGCTGACCCAGATAAAGTTAAGATCAAATGTATATGGAACTGCTTGCCAAAAATCAGTCACTATTTTTCATGAGTCTGTAATTGCTTTATCGTGCAGATGTGAAATAACATGTGATTTAAAAAAATCTTCTGTTTAATCAGAAGCCAAAAGTGTTTTAGTTTTTTTCCTTGATAGTACTTTATACACATTTTCTAGAATAGTTAAGTACTAAGTATTTTGGGACTCTGCCATGAGGGCAGTTTAATAACTGAAGGTATAATGTGATATATTTAGTTTATGTGTCCCTTAAGCCTTGAACAAGCTTCTCCTACTAAACAGATTTCAGGGTTTCCATGTGGAAAGACTAAAAAGAACTAGATTCCGGAGGAAATCAAGTAATTTATGGCATAATGGGCTTAGAATTGAAATGGGCAAGTATTTGAGGGTATACAATTTCTAATTTGTGGTTGTTACTGGTATTTATGTTTTTATTGATTTCTAAAGCACAGTTTTATGCTTTATAAGCTTTCTAATACACTTTTGGGTTTTAAAAGCTTTAGATGAAGTAATCGATGTTAACTAAATTTACATCTGAGCAAATTAATTAACACTGATCATGGGAGCACATGCTTATTAGATTATGCTTATTGTGTGATCTGTGTCCTAGACACATGAAAACTGATGGGAAAATAATGGTATCTGTTTTTGTAAAGACTAGTGCTGGGCAGTTTATTTGTGCTGTCAGCACTTTTAAAGCTGAAAAACAATGTTGGATGAGTTTCAAATTATTGGTACTAGTGAATGAGATTAATTCATTCAAATCTACTGTGCAATTCTTCCCTGAGAAATTGTGAGCTTTACTTGAAAGAAATTTTCAGAGTTGGCTCTAAATCATAGACTCTATTAAAATTCTACTTTCCGTGGAATTTTGTTAAGCTTATTATCTTTAAGGGTTTTTTTATTTCCTTTGGAATTCCACTTAAAAGAATAGACTACTTAAATCTACAAATGCTTACTTGAGTACTTTAATTAGCATACGAATATGATAACTGTAATTAAAGTATTAGAAAAGCTATGAAAGCATATTCTTTTAGTTGTGCAACATTAAAGAAGAATACCACTACAGAGGTCTGTGAGGTTCTCATGGGAATCATTGGGCAGCAATCATTTATACCAATTTGTGAGAAAAATAATGATGACCTACAAATCACCTTTGATATTGTTACACAGCTACCATGTTGTTCAGAATTGTGGCATGGTAACAACGAGTAGATTTTTAATAAGCATGGTTTTTAAAGTGGTCTATAAGCTTAACAGAACTTTAATTTTAGAATGTTTCATTGAAAAATTAGAAAAATATGTTGTTGCATCACACTTTGAAGTAAGAGAAATTTAAAATTTGTCTCAGCTACATTTGAAATCCAAGGTGTTTTTGAAGGCATTGAAACAGTAAAATTTATGTATGACTCCTGTTATTATTTGAGATAAAGTATCTGATGCAGTTTAGCTAAATTTTATTTCTGAATAATCCCAGCCTCTTCCAAAGTGTTCCTGGTATTGGGTCAATTAGTTATTCACTAATGAAAAATTAGATAGGCAAGAGTAAATAGAAAGAATATGGTGAAATTATTTGCTCATGAACTATTAGGCATAGACCTTCTAAAACTATGATCACATATACAATTATTTTTACATATGTAATCCTCTTGATTAGCTGTACTCAGTTGTAGAAATTGTGCTTGCATTTCAGCTCTAAAAGACTGGCCAATTATGGTATAGCAAATTTTGTCTTTTATATGTAATATAATGTAATGTAATATACATGTGAATATAACAGTTCTTTTCCTCTCTAGAAGCATACATAGTGTCTAAATGCTTCTCTCAATATGTGTTAAGAGTCAGCTGCTATATAGTATCTCCATCATCAAATAGAATTTTACAAAGACACTGCTGTCAGCTGTAGACATTGTCATAGTTCCACGAATTTAAGCATTATGTCTGTTTAATAGGAGTTATACTACTGTTTCTTAAGTAAAACAAAAAGATTGACGGGGAAAACAATATTATCTGCCATTTGTCTTACTTTAGGTGGACCCACTGTAACATATTTTATTCAGGAAAAAGACTACTAAATCACAAATGATTTCACAAATTTCAGCAAACTCTCACTTGCTTAAGTCACTTTTTCAGTTAAATATCTCACTGGGAAATATTTTGTGTAAATAAACACTTCCAAGATTTAACTTACTCTATGTGTGAGAACTTGAAGCAGTTTGCAGAAAGAATTTTCAAACTGTAAGTTCTGAAATATGCCTCAAATATGAAAAAAAAAAAAGTTTCATAGATTGGCTTATGAATATTTCCTGTAAAACCAAAGTTACTGTAGTTTCTTGTACTGAAATAATTTGTAAATCCAAACCAAGATTGCAGTTAATATAAATATGCTGGTACTTACTGAAACAGGCATATTTGGTAGACTAAATTTATCTGGCGAAATTAAACAAAAGAGGAGATCTTGGATGTTTATCACACCTTTTGTATTTGTGGATTTTTTTATCAGGACACAATTTTCTCTAGAATGTAACAGCAATATGCATTTTTCTATACCTTGATATTTTTGTTTATCTAATCTTATATCTTGTATAAACTCATTAATTAGAATACCAGTTATGACTCTCGTTTTCTGATGGCAAAAGAAACTTCTCAGTCACTTATCCTAGATTGATCCACTATGTTACTTCTCTGAGTTGTTTCTAGCTTTGCTTCATTAAGGATTTAACATGGCCTTAATTCAGCCATCTGTTATGGGTTTGGCAGGCCAACAGATCTGAGTTGGGTAAGAGCTTTAGAAATTTCCCACATTTTTAAAGGTTAGGAAAAGAGCTACCTTTATGAATAGATTTTGAATAATTCTCATCAAGACAGTGGTGCAGAAGTGGGGTAAAAATGCTTGTCATTCTCTGAAGCTCAGGGTTCCCTGTCTGCCTTTAGCTTTGCTGAAAGGGAATTAGCATTTCAACCAGCCAGTTTCGTTACATGCAGTGAAGTACTTGGGTCTGTAATTTGCTGCTTTTGGCTTGGTGCTGTTGAGAACTAGCTTTGTATAATCCTCTGAAAGCACCTTTCTTTCCACCATAGTTATTGCTACTGGTCTTAAATAACTAATCAACAAAGAGGTTTCCTTGTCTTGGACTGCAGGGTGCTTTAGAAGAACGAAAAGAAATACCCAGTTAATAAGTGAATGATTATAATTATTAAATAGTGATTGTTAAATTGTTACACAGGTTAAAAGGTTTAGAAAGCCAGGCAAAGCAGAATGTATGATAAAGGTAGTATAAGGAGACTTTGGATCCAAACAAATTTTACTTAAGGAGTTCTCTGAGAAATAAATACTTTATTATATGTTTTATCTAAAAAAATAGATTGCCCAGATTTAAGAGATTTATCCACAGTATAGATTAGAGTGAGGGCCTCATGCTAATCATCTTTAAAAATTACACAAATATATTTTTACTTCTACTGAAAGAAGTCTTTGGCGGACTTTGCAACACAAAGATTCTTTAATGAAGTCAACATAATTTGTTGCAATCTAATGAAAAATTAATGCATTTTACTACAGAACCTTGTTTTATATATGCCTTGAATTCTTGTATTTAATAATGTGCTTTTTTGAACTCCAGAAAATCTCACTGAATCAATTATTGTAATAATTAAGCAACACATTAAAAATTCTGTTTGGATCATATATATGTTAAATTGTAAGAATCTGTTGTGGATAGCAACAATTTTGTCAGTGTACCTGAAACAATGCCATCTAATCCTTGCCATGAAGCTTAATTTTGCTGTTCTGTACCCTAAAGATTTGGGTTTTTTCCCTCAGTAGAAAATTATGTATAAAGCACTGCTTCTATTTTTAATTTTAAGTATGAAAAAAATAAGCACTGTACTGCAGAATCCCATGATTTCTTTTTCTAATATATACTATTCATTCACGACATGAAACTTCATTTGCAGCAGATACTAGGTATTTGAAACTGTGATGGTCTTGTCCTCAGCTGCCAACATACGTTCTCAACATTTGTTAAGTAAGAGTGTTGAGGACATGCAAGAAACCTCCAAAGTTGAGATACAAATGGAAATAATTGTGAAAGTTGAGATCTCTACTGAAGTATAATAAACAGCTGATTTGCAGTGAAGCCTGCCAACCTTCATCAGCTGGATTTCTGGTTCCATATGCGTTAAGAACCTGATCCTGTGGCATGCTCAATCATGGAGTCACTTCTATGAGTTTGAGCTGGAAATGCTAGGCATCTTATTGAGGGATCACTTGGTTTTGATTTAGTTTGGCTGTTGGTCTTTGGTTTTTTGGGTTTTTTAATCCCCTTGCTTTTTGGTGCAAAAACCATTTTGAGAGAAGGTATAAGTGCTTCTAGTATCTGAATCTACAG